AGTGTTCATTCAAGGTTCGGCTATGGAAGATACTTACCTGGGTTAGATGTGACCTGCAGAGGTGGCGCTGAAGAAGTAGTGACCACATTGACGACTTGGAGATTGTCTGCAGATGAAGCGCTGATACATTGGAAACCATATTGATGAGTTGACAAGAGATTGGTGTTAGGCTGATGAGCGCTGGACTCAGGGGAACTTTGAAACACTTTGTATTCATATTTCTGATAATATAAGTTGTGAAACTCGGTCCTCTTCTTCTCTACCTTTGTCTATGGTTGATACTATTGATCACTGCATGTGAAGATGATGCATGACATGTACATATTTGCGTGAGATGGTCCCTAGGACCCATGCATTTATTTATTTATTTATATATAGGGTTGCCGGCGTTCGGGTTCGGCCAAATTAACGAACCTGAACCTACCGAACGTTTGCCCCCCCTTGGGGATGCATTTGGCCGTTCGGGCCGCACGCGGACCCAAATTAAAAAATCAAAAAAAAAAAAAAAGTCTGAAAAAAATATATGTCATGCAGAAAAATAAAATGAACAAGATTTCCCTCAGGGTTACATCCAGATTCCTTACCAAATTTGAAATAAAAAAAATACGAAGGACAAGTAATAATAAGAAAAATACAAATAAGAAAAAATGAAAAGAGAATTAAAATTAGTGAGTGGGCGAGCACGTTTTCGACACCGCTATCTATGGCGATTTTTCTCTTTTTTTTGGGATAGCCAAATACCCTGGAAAGTTAGAGATGTGTATTTAGTATAATATAAATCTCATTAAAAAAAACTTTCAAAAAATAATAAAATATTTGAGGCGCAAAAATAAAATCAAAATAGAAAGTGAAAAGTTTAAAAAAAAAAAAAACTCAGTGGCCAAGCACATTTTGACACCGCGATCTTTGGTGAATTTTCATTTTTTTGTTGCTTCGTAAAATGCCTTGAATATTTATATGCATGTAGGGCATGTCATAAAGAACTCGCACAAAACTTTCCAACAAAAACAAATAATGTTTAGGCCCCGAAATAATTTCTGGCAGGGGCCGAGCCCTTTCAGGTTCGGACCCGAACGCCCGAACAAGTTCGGCCTGGTAACCATGTTTATATCTATATAATCAGGGTTGCCAGGCCGAACGTATGGAGGCCCCTAAGCTGACCCCTGAACGTTCGGGCGTTCGTGAACCTGAAGGGGTTCGGACCCCACCAAAAATCAATAAATAATGAAATGAATTTCAATAAATACTAATTCATCTATTTAATTCATCTATTTAATTCATCTATTATAATAAAGTTAAATAAACCCAATAGTCTCTTACTACTTGATTCTTCATTTTTTTTGATATACATTGATTTTGATTATTTACATAATTGATTCACTAAAATACCTTGAACTATTGACAGTTAATAATTTCAAGGTTAAACTATCTTTGGATTTCAAAAGGCCCCTATCGTCTAGCTGGCCTAGGGCACCTCCCTTTCACCGAGGCAACGGGGATTCGACTGCTAAATTTTATTATATTTTTCTGATTTTTCTTTTGTGTGTTCATTGTGATGTGAGGTATCTCCGTCTTAATTTTGAAGCCATTTTGTTCAGCCAAACAAAAATGAAAAATCGGCAAAGATGGTGGTGTCAAAACTTGCTTGCCCACTCACTAATTTGTTTTTTCTCTCTTTTCACTTTTCGTTTTTCCTTTATTTCGGGGCATGAAAAAAAATATTATTTTTTCAAACTTTATTAAAGTTTATTTCTAGATTCTCTATTATGTAAGATACACATATAAAAATTTTCATGGCATTTGTCACAGCCAAAAAAAAAAGAAAAATCGCCAAAGATGGCGGTGCCAAAAACGTGCTCGCCCACTCAATAATTTCATTCTCGTTTTATTTTTTCTAATTTTCATTATTATGATTTATTTTTAGTATTTGATTTAATTTGGAAACGAATTTGGATGAAACGTTGAGGCAAACGTTGTTTAGTTTATTGAACTTTATTCTTCTGCATAATATATAAAATTTTCAGATTTTTTGGAATTCTTTTTTTTTTTTTTTTTTTTTTTTTTTTGGGTCCGCGTTCGGCCGGCCGAACGCGTCGAGAGGGGGTGCCTATATCGTCTGCATAAAGACAATACATACCAAAACAAGGAAACAGGGAAAGGAAAGAAAAGGGAAAAAACAGAAATATGAAAAAGTTGTCAATATATCTGGCCGCTTTACAGTGGGGACTTCTTTTTTCTTTCCTTCATCTTTTTTTTTACAGTGCGAACTCCTCGAGAAGGGTTGGATTAGGCCCAGTTCGTCTCCATTTGGAGCACCTGTTCTTTTCGTTCCTAAGAAGGAGGGAGAGCTTAGAATGTGCATAGACTATAGGGGTCTCAATGTCGTCACAGTGAAGAATGCAGAACCACTGCCTCGTATAGATGACCTGTTAGATCGGGTGCAGGGCTGCAAGTACTTCTCTAAGATAGATTTGAAATCAGGCTATCATCAAATAGAGGTCCACCCTGATGATCAGTACAAGACGACATTTCGGACTAGATATGGGCACTATGAGTTTATCGTGATGCCCTTTGGACTAACCTATGCGCCAACTACGTTCCAGTGCTGCATGAATGATCTGTTTAGGCCATGGTTAGATAGATTCGTAGTTGTATACCTAGATGATATCCTAGTCTTAGTAAGACCCTCCAGGAGCATGAGGGCCATCTGAGGCAGGTCTTGGAGAAGCTGAGGGAAGCTAACTTCAAGATCAACGCAAAGAAGTGTGAGTGGGCCAAGACGCAAGTCCTATACTTGGGCCATGTCTTAGATGGAGATGGCATAAAACATGAGGGCAGTAAGATAGCAGCGATCAGAGATTGGCCACGCCCCACTGACAGAGTTGCGGTCATTTCTAGGCTTAGCCAACTACTATAGGAAGGTCGTGAGGAACTTTTCTACCATCGCTGCACCCATGCGCAGGTTGCTAAAGAAAAAGGCAATCTGGGAATGGCATAGAGACTGTACATCGGCCCTGAACAAGTTAAAGCGGGCCTTGATAGAGTATCCAGTCCTCAAGGTAGCCGACCCACCTTTACCTTTTGTTGTCACCACTGACGCAAGTCAGTATGGGATAGGTGTTTTGTTACAGCAAGATGATGGCAATGGGTATAGACCCATAGAGTTCATGTCTGCTAGGATGCCTTCAGATAAGGTTGCGACATCTACCTACGAGAGGGAACTCCACGCTCTCAAGCAAGCTTAGACCATTGGAAGCATTACTTGCTTGGGAGGCACTTCAAAGTCTATTCAGACCACGAGACGTTGAGGTGGCTGAAAACACAGGCCAAGATGACACCTAAGCTTAAACACAGGCCAAGATGACACCTAAGCTTACTAGGTGGGTCGCAGAGATAGACCAGTTCGACTTTGAGCTCAAGCCAGTTAAAGGGAAGTATAATGTAGTCGCGGATTAGAGGGCTGATTACTTTGGGGCGATAGTTCACTATCTAGATATAGGACGAGACCTGCAACAGAGAGATAAGAAAGCCTATGCGCAGGATCCTATATATAGTGATCTCCTCAAGAGAGTTAAGGAGTCTTCAGAGTCTAAGCCAGACTACCGCACTACAGATGGGTTACTATTCGAGAAGACTAACGTAGATGACCGTTTGTGCGTTCCCAATAGTGAAGAGATCCGTAGCTTGATTTTAGGGGAATGTCATGATACAGAGGGGCACTTTTGTTGGCAAAAGACATTGGCTAACCTTGTTCGCGCATATACGTGGCCTGGCATGAAGGCCGACTGCATAGTATGTACGCAGTTGTAAGGTATGCCAACGGAATAAGACCACTACGCGAGCCCCTCTTGGTCTTCTCAGACCCTTGCCTATTCCCACAAGACCCTAAGATTCTGTGTCCATTGACTTTATGGATGTCTGGGTCAAGAGCAGGCACGGCAAGAGCCAAGTCATGGTTATAGTTGATAGATTTAGTAAATATGCAATTTTTGTTCCTTTACCCGCAGAGGCACGAACAGATTTAGTTATAGACAAGTTCTTTGA